ATGGGAGGAAGCAGAAATTTCATTTGGATCCTGTCCCTCGCTGGCAGGGGGTAACAGCTGCTTGTGCTGCTTGAGAGTTGCCAGTCCCTCTCCTCAGAGCAAGGAAAGGAGCCATCCCACTAGCTCTGGTTGGTGGCATCAGTGCAGGCAGCAGACAAGCAAACAGTTTGTATTGCTTCCACAGTCCCCCCACAATCCTTGCCTTTCACAGCAGACATTTTTAATAAGCAAGCAAAACTTCTGATGTAAATTGGGCTTCTGGAGACTCACTGAGCTGAGGTAGCTTGGCTTCTCTCCATGCAGAAGGTAACAGTAGCTGCCTGTTTGCTAACCAGTACGTCGTCCTTAGACAACTGACTCATGGGCATTTGCAGTCATCTGAATAATGGTTCAGGCTTCACACGTCTCTCTCCCTCTCTCTCTCTCTCTCCCCCCTGTGGCTTTTTATTCTTTTTTTCCCTGTCTTTCAGTTATTTAATGATTGGAGTGAGTAAGAGGTATTTTTCTTCATAATGAAATACTGTCTCATTCATGTTATAGTCACTACAACATATTAAACACTGACAGATAAATTTAACGTACTGTACAGAGTGAATGAGTTAACAGGTAATACTGTATCCAAAAGTACCTATTTATTCAGTGATTAGCTTATCTGAATAACGTGAATTTTCGAGTCTTGAAAGACAATAGGACTGGCTTCAGTCAGTCAGATGCCTAAAGGATGGATATCATAGGTTTCTACATTACAGATTATGAAAAGATTATCAGTGAAACATGGAAACCAGTACTGGATTTAAGGGTAACTCATCGCAATCTGAGAAATGGTATCCCCTATTTCAAATGAGATGAATAAAATAGTTAGCAAGTATAGAGAGATATTAATATAGCATGTACATATTGTTTGTCTAAGTAAATAAAAGAGTAGTGGGGATTGTTATAGAAGAAAAATAAGATTACATATTTTTTTATCAGCTGGTTCCACAGATGATGCAAATTTAGAAAATTAATACTTTTAGTATAATCCTGTGAGTTTTCCTATTTTGACCAGTTTCTATGATTAAAAGATGCTCCTTTTGCAGATACAGTATATCCTCAATGACAATCTACTATTGATTGTCTAACAACTGATAGTGACACATGTATATCTGAGAAAGATCATCTCAAGTTTACATCTGTCAGTAATTAATAGTTTTTCAAGACTAATCAAGAACCATCTGTTGAATTTGTTCATACATTTTAAAATAACACATTGCAACCAAGCTCTTAATTAAATTTTTAAAGCAAGAGTGGGCAGCAAAGTTCTGATTGACAGCTGAACAGGACTTTCAAGTGCCTTGGCAGGCTGCTCATTAACCCACACTTTAGCCTTGCACTTCTCCAGCACCGCATAATGTTCCAGTGAAAACACCCTCCGCACCAGAGAGTGCTTCCCTTGACACTTTCTCTCTGAGACAAGAGAGAAAAAGGAAAGCAGGAGCAATGCAGATGCAGGAAAGGAAGGTGTGGAGCCTGACCTTATCTCCAGCCAGGATCTTGAAGGAAGCCATAACCTGGTCAGCAGTGTCTGTATCTGCCGTTTCCCGGGACATGAAGTCGATGAAGGCCTGGAATGTCACTACGCCCAAACGGTTAGGGTCAACGATGCTCATGATGCGGGCAAACTCTGCCTCTCCCTGGAGAACAAGAGAGTCATGTAAGCCTGGACATTTGGGTGGCAGTGCTATGAAAGTGAGGAGAAACTGTTCAGCAGCCCATCTCACAGCTAGAAAAACAAAGCCAAATAGAAACCACTTCTGTTTTTATCAGGATATTCTTTTTCAGCTTGATGTTGTGTACAAATGCCTCCTACTCATTTGTCCTTTGGAATAAAATATTCTTAGCTGTGCCATAGGATAACATCCAGCTCCATCTAGCTCTAGGACAATGGTCTTATCAAGGAACAGTATCACACAGAGTTCAGGGAAGATGCAAATTTCTCTGTAACACATGTTGTGCTAGATGTCTCTAGCAATATTTGAAGATCTGCATTCCTCAAATCCTTTTACTTTCACTTACTAAAAGAGAACTTTTACAGTTCTCTCAGCTGCCAGAAGAGAAACCACCAGAAAAAACGTCTCTGAGGTCTTTAATAGTATCTGGTTCATCTTAACTAGATGAGCTTTGGAAGGAAGGCCTTGTATATCTGGAGTGGCCCAGGGAAGTAGCCTTTACAGGGAAGATCCTACAGAGAAGTTTGCTACAGAAGCCAAAACCATATAGTTTTTGGGTTTTTTTTGCATACAAACAGAAGATCATCTATTCTCATCTCTGGGACTCCTTCCTTCCCATGTAAGGAGGAGGGGAGAGCAGAGCTGAGTCTTCTCCTGGGAACAGGCTCTTCTAACAAATCTAGAACAGTATACCTTCAAGAGTAATTAAGGTATCTAATCAAACGTTACTGCAGCTTGGCATGCTACACTAAAAAGTCTGTATTTATACTGGGCTGATGAGTAAGATGATTAAACACTGCTTTGCCTGACGTCAGGAGTAAAGATACTGAGAGTACAGCTGAATGTTTTTACACTACGCTCTTCTCTTGCCCTTTGATGAGCATCGGTCTCTGGTGAAGCTCTTCCTATTAGTTATTGTGCCTCTCACGGTACCACATGTTACTGTTCTGAATATGCAGGTCCTATGGTGAGGGAAAAGCTACGGGAAGGATGACTGGAACTTGAGCTTACTTACATGTGCAGGAAGAGAGATGTGAAATAAATGGCAAGAATGAGAGGAGCAGCGTTTGAGGGTATTCAGAATTCAGGTCGTGTATAATTCCAGATGAGCTCAACTGATACTTAGGGCTGGGGAGGTTGTGTGTGCTGTGCAGAGCACAGGTACTGACACACAGTTTGATAAATATAATTCTTCTTTGAAATACACAGGAATTAGACAACGATTTCCATTTTTTTACCTTCAGCTACTGCTGTGAGACAAGAATTTTACATGTACAACTAATACTAGATTTAACATCCATTGCTGATAATTCTGGAAAATAAGGCTGTATTTACCTTGATTCACTACACATTCTCCCTTTATTTTTGAAGGTGCCTACAAGAATCACTTTGAACAGGAGTGACAGAGGGCTCTACATTACCATATTGTAACCCATGGAGATAAGGCAGGCTCGGAAATCTTCACAATCCATCATACCAGTCTTCTTCTACAGGGAATGATGCAAAGATGGAAAAAGCCAAGAGAGAAAAGGGAGACCAGTCCAGGGAGAAATGAACCCACAGGAGACATTACAAAGAATGAGTTTCAGCGGGGAGATGAAAGGAAGGATTTACAGGACAATGAAAAACAATAGAGAAAAGGTAGTTTGTGAAACCATGAAGAAGCAAAGGTGGTTTTGTACATGGAATAGTTTACACACAAGGAACATATCGATGATGAAAAAAAGGAATGAAGATATCAAGCAAGACAGATTGAGAGATGGACAAGAAAAGGAGTGTTAAGTGACACAGAAGTAAATGGAATAGTTTGAAGACGAAAAAGGAATTCTCCCAAGACAAACAATTAGGAAATTAAGAAGGAATAGATACCAAAGTACATTTAGAGAGGAAGTGGTATAGAAAAGTGATATATATATAGTCAAACATGAGAACAGCAATGACAGATGGATTAAGACAAACAAGAGAAGAGAGGAAAAAACTGTTATTTTTTCACAGTTTAACATCTGGCTGTGTTCACCACTAGCATTCAGTACCTGTGCATCGTTTCCAATATCGTAACCCAAGCTGATGAGACAGGCTTTGAATTCCTCAGGGCCAAGTGTGCCGGAGTGGTCCTGGTTATGCGGTGTGCCAGGCAGCAGGACATGCAGTGCCAGTGGGGTGACGGCGTGGGGCAGAAGGAAGGGAGACACAGAGGAGATGAAAGGGAGGTGGAAGGACAACAAACAGGTGCACCATGCAGTGGGTGAGGAGAGAGGAAGAGGAAGAATGACATGCAGATAGAAAGACAGGGAAGAAAAATAAAAAGTGCACAACATTAGATATCACAATGACATTTCAGGATGTGCTAAAAATGCTCTTGGAACAGTTCCTTCTCAGAGAGCTCATCACATCTTGAGAGCATTTGAATGACAAAAACAGTTGATGCTCAGAAGCCTCAAGATCTTCATCTCTCAAGTGAACTACTTGCGTCACTGCTTGTTATCCATAGTGCCAGAAGCCCTGTGTTTCACTAGTAACCCAGAGTGCAGGTAAGCAGGCAGAGGCAGTGGGAAGCATTGACTTAATCTTCTAGTCAAAAGTCCCACTAAAGGAGTAGGTGAGGGCAAGTATGTTCGGCAACACACCCAAGGAAGCTTAGCTGTCAGGGCATCCCAGGAACAGACAAGGAAAAACAGCTGAAGCTCAGGGGAGCAGTGTTATGGCTGTATTTATGAGACCTGCACATGAGGTGGAGCTTTGACTAGCAAAGCTATTTCAAGTGCTCAGCTCAGCAAACAGCACTGCTGTACAGCGCAGCACAACACAGCTTGGCAGCTGCTTCTCCTGTTGCTCATTCCCGCTCCCCCAGTGTTTGAATGCAAACTATACACAAGCTACCACAGGAACTGAGAATCCCCATCCACCTTGCAGAATTTTAGCTCAGGACAGTCCCAAGAGCCCCTGCCTGCTGCCACCATTTCTGGCCAGATCAAGAAGCTACAGACAGGATGGCGGGGCCAATTCCAAGTGACTTTCCTCAAAAAAAATCAGCTTTTAAAGTCAGTGTTAAGCCTTTATAGATCAACTACACATTTGAAGATGTGAAACACACGTTCTCTCTGTGTTATCATTTGGACCGTTGTGGAAGAAGAGGCAAATGATATTAAGACCAAAATATAAAATCTACAGGGCTTTATGGGTCCCTCTGCTAAGAAAAGAAGCCATGGTTCTCCTTTTTCTTAGGTAGTTAGAGAAGGGCTGAAATAGCCACTGTTCAGCAATCTGAAAGCATTGCCAATCTCTGAGGGCAGGCTGCAGCCCTGTTCTCTGGAGACCTTTCAAATAGTCTGTCTGGTGCAGCAAGTGGTGGAGAGAGCAACCTATATCTGCATCACTGACTTAGTATCTGTCCTGGTTTCAGCTGGGACAGAGTTAGTTCTTTTTAACAGCTAGAAGAGCTCCGTGTTTGGGTTTGAGTCTGAGACTCGTTATGAGCAGAATGTTGATAGTGCACTGATGTTTATAGCTGGCACTAAGGTCTCAAGGACTTTTCAGCTTCCCGTATTCTTGCCAGTCTGCAGGAGCACAACAGGCTGCGGGGGAGCAAGGCTGGGACAAAGGGTCCACAACTCCTCTTACGATTTAAACTTAGGATTGAGGGCCAAACTGGCCAATGAAGTATTCCATATCATGCAGAGCCATGTCCAGTATAAAAATGAGGGTTGACTGGAAAGAAGGGCCTTTGCTGTTCTGGGGGCTCTCACTCTCGGGAGTGCTCTCTCTCTCTCTTGCTCTCTTTTTGGGCCTCTTGCTTGTCTGGGATTGCAGTGTTGGGACTTATCTGTTTCAGGATCATTGGTCTGGGACAGGATGGGTCTTGGTCGCCGAGTGGTGAGCAATTACACTGTGCGTCACTTGTTTGTATATATTATTTTCATTATACATATGTATACATTCATACATTAGTAGTAGTAGTATTAAATTGTTCGTATCTCAACCCATGGGTCTCTCTCCCTTTTCTCCTTTAATTCTCTTCCCTATCCCCTGTGGGTGGAGGAGGGTGAGTGAGCAGCTGTGTGGTGGTTAGTTGCTGGCCGAGCTAAACCACAACAGTATCTCTAAGGCTGCAGGCTGCTCATGGATTTCCAGACAACACTGAAGAGGCTGATGATGGAGCCAGTTTCAGGACTGGGCTGCTGCCTCTGCTTCCCTGTGTGACACCTTTGTGATTTGGGCTGTAGAAGGAAAAGCTGCAGACAGGCTGGCAAACTGAGGGGAGGAGAACTTCCTTTAAGGAATTCCTTCATTTTTGGACCTGTTAGTGCCTTGGCATGTATTTCCACAATAAAGTAAGGCAGGCTTTACATCAGGCTTTATCTATGTCATGCAATGCTGTGTATAGATCCTCCTGTCTGCTCCATACAAGAGCAATACTGGTTTCTTCAACAGGTTTATGTGATGGTATGTCAGAGTGGAAGACAGCTGCTCCAAATAGTTTTATATATCGGATAATAATCTGCTCTCTGGAGAAGATGGGGTAACTGTCTAATTTCCTGAAGAAGCCTTCAAACTTTTCCATACTTTAACTTTATCAGGAAACTTAGCACTGCCAGCCTAATGATCACTTACCAGTCTTCACAGGAATGACTGCACCACAGGAGTGGCGTGTTTAAGAATGAAACATCTTCTATCGATCTAGTTTTATCACAGTAACTGTTTGGTTTTTACTGCACTGCACAGTCTACACAGAAGCTTCAAGCTTACCAAACTGCAGTCAGCACTGACTTACCCTGTCGAAATGGTTGAAAGAAGCCCGGAACTCGTTCATCTGTTCCTGGCTGATTCCTTTGGCATCACGGGTCAGAATCTGGTTTTCCACTTCATTGATGGTTCTAGCAATTGTTGTTAGTAACTGCTCCCAGCCCACTCGGATATGCTGGAAAAAGAGGACAGGACAATTTTTAAATTAAAAGGTATCTCTTCTGCTTCTGAGGCTAGTGGATCGAATGTGCTACTTGTTGCAAATGAAATGATCCTGCTGGCCAAGGCAGGAGAAGTCCATTTTCTCAGAAAAGCTTCCTTCTCATCTGCAGTGTGAGCCAACAAGAAGTTTAAAATCTAAATTTTGACTGAAAAAAATATTTAAGAGGCCAATTCCTGATCTTAAAAAAGTCTTGGTCCTATTGCAAACTTCCTTTGCCTTGTCAGCAACATATTGGGGGTCTTTAACACAAATGAGAATCAAACCCAGTGCTTCTAGGACTTAGTTGGGCAGAAAACTCTCCTGACCAAGAAAATAAGTCACAGTCCTTGGAAGACACTGGTGCTCCACTGCCTCAGCTGTTGCTTAATGGAGAGCTGGCCAGAAACAAAAAGACAAGTTTCAAAGCCTGTCTGTGTTCTGCTGGACTCATGTTGAACTGAGATTGCTTCCAAGAAACCTCATGTTGTCAATAGAAAGCCAGACTCCCGATTCTAAAAAGCTTTTGTTGGACTTCTTTCTTCTGCCAGGCTGTGGCAGCTCAAAATCACCAGCACTACACTGGTCTTTCTAATCCCAGCTAATAGGCTGCCACAATTGGGTGGCAGAAGAAATGAGACCAGCCAATTTTTCAAGCAATACTGTTGATCTCATTCAGGTTATTTCTATTGTCTATATTTGGAAGCATATTGGAATGGGTTGGCATGAAATACAGCAAGGCAAAAAAAATAATTCAGTGACATGTTATTGCATGCTTGGCCACATTGTCAAGCTCTCCATTTTCCTAAAAACCACAACATGTTGCCAGAGCTAGATGCAGCTGATGCTAAGTGGTCACAGCAGATGAGGTTGTCTGATCTGCTGCCAGAACTTTTACCTCCATGGTGTAGTTGGTGTGCTTGTTGTCAAAGATAAGCGCTTCCTGGATCTGCTGGTGGTCTCCTTCCAACTGGTCAATCTTTGGTTTGTAGTTCACAATGCTTTTCTCATACTGCCGCAAGTGGTTGAGCTGGTCCTCCAAGGTCCCATGCATCTCTATTGAAATGCGGCCAATCTCCTGCATTAGCAAAGCCAAAGGAGTTAGACCCCATTGGAAGGACAAGCCTCAACATGCTTGACATTTATTGCAGCTATTTCATGCTCACACAGGATGATGAATCAAAAAAATAATCTCATGGAGCAGTTACTTTAAATGAGCCGAGACTGTCAGCAAAAATTTTAGCAGAGCCCTGAACATTTTCCAAGTGAGGTGAGTCACATGAGACGTGTCTAATACAAGGATACAAAAAAAAAAAAAAAGGAAACTGCAGTCCATAACCTAGTAATGTACCAAGCCAGTTCTTTTTCTGATGCACTGTCTGCCACTAACTTAATCCCTTCATAAGGACGTATTTCTCTAATTGCTCTCTTCTTTACAGCTCCTGCCATCAGTAATAGCTTCACGTTTTTCCATTTCATCAACTTCAATTCCTGTAACTCAAATCTTACCTAAAGAGAGATCTCCCTGAAAAATGTCTTCTCTGCTGGTGTTTGATATGCTAATTATATTTCTTTTGTTATGTGTATCAAGACCATTGCTGTGAAAGCAGTTACACAAATATGCTTCTGATGTAGGGTCTTTAACTTGCTGCATATAAACACAACTCTCTCAAAATACCAGTGTTCTCCATTTTAAGTCATGGTTTTTATCTCTGTACCGAAGAATTAGGAGAAGAAAAGTACAAGCACTTCAGTAACTGGTATCAATCTGGGGATTCTCCATATTTTCTACAAAAAGTTCTCTTGCTGTACCTGAAGGAAGAATGACTGTGACAGTGGTCAAAGGAAAGACCAAGGATAAGAATATCAGTGAAGATCACAGAGGAAATCAGACTATTTCAAAATGAGCAAAGTACTACCTCCATCTTGGTCTGGATCCAGGGTCCAATGACATTGGCCTGGGCACCAAACTGTTTACGAAGTCGTTCATTTTGCTGCTGGCGAGCATGTTCTTCCATCAGGGCTTGATCCCTTCTGGGTACCAGCTGCCGCACCTACAATGAAGAGTAATAAAGCGTGCAGCTTATTCATACAAAGGCACATGTATAGTAAACGTAGAAATTGCCTCAAGGAAGGGAGGAGTGGGTGTTTACACTGGAAACAAGCAGTCATACGGTTTAGGACATGGCAGGAAAGCTCATGGAATGTGAATCCTATGTGCTGTAGGATGCGCGCTGCAAACTCATTTCAGTCCATGCAAGATGAGAAGAAGCTTCCATTCACTACCTGGGTTTTGGTTGCTCATGTTAACTGAATTGAAGGACCCGGTTCAGATCTCACTTTGGTGATATCGTTTGGTAGTAAGAACCACCATCATACCTGGTATGGAGAGTAGCTACTCTTTTAGGATTACAGCAAGGGAAGGCTACTTGGCTGCAGAGATAAAACATCTGAAGGGTTGAATGGTGAAATAGGATACTGACTCACATGCCATACTTACTTGTTTGTCAGGTCAACTGAGGACTGAAAACCTCAAAGCTTTTAATTTAGCGTGTTCCATTATAAAAATAATGAGTAAAAGGAATCTGACACCTCTTAGGCGCTTACATGAAAGATCTCTTTCGCTTTCGAAGAGTATGTCAATTGAGCCAAAAACAAATGACAAAAAAAAAAAGAAAGCTCAGCAGTAAGCATGAGAGGGTAACTGAAGAGTAAATAATCCACTTCCTGGGGTCCTAGTGATTGAGCAGAGAGATCCTCCCACACAAACTTGCAAGGCTGGAAAGAACTCACATGTTCCCATTTGCCATTGATCTCGTGTGGGGTGATTGTAGTGTAAGGATTTGTTCCTGCCATGTTGACATGGTAGGTCTGGACAATCTTTGAGACTTCATTGTGGATTCCCAGGATGGCCTGTCGCTCCTTGTCGGCATCTGGCAAAGTGGCTTTGAACTGCTCGTGGGCTGTGGTCAATCCCTGTAAAAGGAAGGCAGCAGCAAAGGGAGGATAAGAGCATTAGTCACTGATTAGTCTCTTCTGCAAATGTATCCCTGCAGAAGTGACTGCAAAAGCTTACATATTCCCAGGATATAAAGCAGGCTACTCTTAATACTCAAAATTTTCAGTTTCTCTTAGCATCACTAAACAGGCTGATTTAAGTAGTTAAATGATGCGAAGTCTCGTTCCCTTGGTTTCTGTCCCATGTTGACCAGTGACAGAGATCACATCCCAAAAAACGATGAAGTAATTGCTCATAATTTAAGGGGAACTATTTCTCCAACACTGCCTGTCAGCCTCTTTGGGAAGAAGATCTGACTACTAGCATTACTTTAAAGCAGTCATGTCTCACTAGCGTAAATGCACCACGTTCTTCTTCTCCTGCTAGGTATGTACTAGTTCTACAACTAAGATAACTCCAGATGAATAACGAGAGTCAGATTCAGTCTGACCAGTCATTTAGAACTAGGTGAATGTCTTCCAGCCAACAGCAAACTCGCACAGGCAACATATGCTCCTGCTGCTGAAAACCAGCTCCTTCTCCCTGAGCACAACAGGCCCTTTCTGTTCCCCGTCCTGCTGCGGTGCCCAGACTGTGCTCCAAGGACCGATGGTGGGGGCCCGCTTGCTGGTAGTTTGTGGACAGCTGACAAGCCAGTTGGTCCTGGCTCATCTCCCACTGCTTCTACAGGCCTTTAAGGTACTTCATCCCAGAAGCCTGGAAGATCAAGAATAGGGAAGCAAACGCAGGGAAAGAGGCAGCAAAACAAATCAGGGACGGAGAGGGAAGTGCAGGGATAATCAAGGGAACAGTGTGGACAGAAGAGGGAATGAAAGTAAACTGAATGATTGACCACTCTCTTAAAACACACACATTGTAACTACTTTTTGTAAAATTGCTTCCTTGCATGGTGACTCATTACTTTGCAGCTGCTGCAGTGGCCATAGAGATGTAACGCAAGTCTGGGCGGCTGGGAAAGATACTGCAAGCAGTCACAAAGAGATGATGGAAGAGTTTAAATGCTATTCAAATTTGTTCTGCATTATGAAAGACTTAATGAACTCTTTTGTTCAGGAGGGAAGGGTGGAAGAAACAAGTAGCAGCTGAGTAACAGGGCTGACACCAGGCTAGGGCTATTTCACTACCCCTCCGCGCACCTGGCTGCACAGTGTCCCCTGTTGGTCCGCCATTCACTGCCTCACTGATGGCCACCTTGCTGTCAGCCATTTCTGCAAAGAGCTGACTTGGGTTCTTTTCCATGAGCCCATCAAGCAGGAGAAGTAGAAGTCTCCACTGCAATGCAGGGAAGAGTAATTCCTGCTCTCAAAGGTCTGAAAATTACCTTTAGATACCTCGGGTTGCTTTCCCTTTTAGAAGAGGGAAAACTGAGATACTGTCTCTGTTGTCTTGCACGAGGCAAGAAGACTTTCGCTTCAAATGGTAGTCCACCACCAAAATGGATAATTCTATTTTTCTTGTGCTCAGCACCAAAACCCAACTGGCAGCTCAACAACTACCTTCATGGCACATCCTGTCACATAGGACCAAATAACCTGGACGTGACATTACAAGGAACAACTGACCTGCAGAGCCTGTAAGCAGCACTAAGCTTTGCTCATGTGGGTTAAAAAAAACCCACAAGACCCTAAGAATTTCTCAATTTTCAGGTTTTCATTAATAAGACTCTGGACTTACACTGAAAAACCCACTTTCAGTTCTACATGTTCAGCTAGGATGGTGTGGGCATGTTTCATACCTATTCAGATCCAGGTTTTTGGAGAAAATCAAGGAAAAACATACTCCTTTTTGTTTCTCTTGCTAAAGCTAACTTACTAGAGCAGGAGCACCAAAGCATGACCTACAAACTCAGCACCACTAGGAATCCAGAAGACCCTCGACTTCTCTCTAACCCAGCCTGCATGGTGCAAATGACTGCTCTGTACCTGTATCTCCTCAATGGTGTGAACAATGAACGTGTCCTGCAGGTCCTCCATGGCCCCTTCCATCCAGTTATTGAAAGGGGCAGCTCGTTTGGCATATTCCAGGTACAACTGGTCAATTGTTTCCAGTAGCTTCTCTGTCCTCTGGGCATGCAACAAAAAAAAGAAAGAAAATCAGGAAAGATGGTTAGAGAAGAATAATCACATATCTATATGCGGCTTGCCTGAGCTGCTCCTTCCTTTCAGATCTCCTCGGTGCTCTCAGGATGGCACTACATTAAAAACCTCTCTGCTGTTAAGAGATCACACACAGGATGGATTTTTTCCTCTGAGGGAAAAATCTCATGTTCTTTGAAATAAAACGAAGCAAGGATAGTCTTTTCAAGCAGAACAAAATTACAAAACACAGAAAAGTAGAAATAAATAAATAGCCTGAGCAAAGAATGGCACCATTATTGGGCTGCAAGGGGAAAACCAGGCTAAATATACTGAAAAATTGCCCTTGTTTACAGTCTGGGATGTTCTAGGAGTGCACAAAAGAGCTGAAATTGGTTGCTCGTGCCCACTGCAGTTTGTGTCCCTTAAACGATCTACTCATGTAATCCCAAAGGTCCAATTTGTAACATATCTCACCTCCAAGGCTTCTCTACGTTTCTGGGTTAGGGCACCCAGATTATCCCATTGATCACAGATCTTCTGGCACCTGGCATTGACACTGGGAGAGTCATAATAGTCCAGCTCACTATAAGGGGTGGGGAAAAAAAGAATGAGAAGTCAAATAAAGACCTTTTGGAGAAGAAAGAGAAACTTATTAGAAATCTTTAATTGGCCTTGAGGGCAGATTCAGACAAAGAGCTCATGGTCTCTGCAAGTCAAGCGAGCCAGGAAGACAGCATTATCTAGTTTTAGAGACACTGTATGTTATGGCACATCAAACAGCACAGAACAGGAAGAACAACAACCACCACCCAAGGCCTCAACAAACACTGGTGCTGGCTGCCTGACAGGAATAATTTGGCACTGGGGGAAGGAAGTATAGACTTTTGCTCAAGATGGGAATAAGCAGAGCAATATGTCCCTGTATTCTGCTTAAGAACATCATGCAGGCTACCTATTTGCATCTTGTATATCAGAACAGGCAGCAAAGATTTTATTATGAATCCAAAGAAAGTGCATAAGATCATTCTAAGACTTGCATAGTACAGGTGGCAAAGAACAGCTAAATTACACAATCCATTCATTTAAGACAATCCCAGAATTACAGTGTAAGTTTCTCTCCTATATGCCTCATAGGGAATGCTTTGCTGAGATGTCTGTAGGCTGGTAGTCATAGAGGACAGGCTGGTAAGAATATGGCAGGGGAAAGAGCAGCATAAGGGAAAACTGAAGCTTGCGGTCTTGTATTGCTTTGTGCTCTTGGTTCTGCACATGGTCAAAGAGGGAGAAACTTGCAGGCAGAAGGAGACCAGCCAAGTTGGGAAATGTCAGCCTCAAAAAAGAAAGTAGAATAACTCACTGGGCTACTGAGTGACCCTGGGCCATCTGATGAGCATTTCTCTAAGCAGTAATGCAAGTTTAAACAGTTTCCTCTTGCATCCCCTAGCCTTGTTTCTTCCCACCATTGCATTGCCTTCCTGAGGTGTGTGGGCACAACTGTTGCTGGAGTCTTGCAGTAAACTAGTCAGGAAACTGATTTGGGCTAAAAATAACTTTTTCTTTGCTGGGTTTTTAATCCAGATCAGTTCGTTGATCTACTTTGCTGCAGTGCCAGCACTGCAGATGAAAGAACTGTTTCTGAAAGCCTGGCTTATAACACACCCGTGCTGGACCACTATTGCTGGAGAGTGGAACATGCCGTGCCCCCAAACACGCCTGGCAAGGGCAGCCACTAACACTTCCTCAGACCCTCTCCATCTCCCTGGCAGTGTATCTCTAAGGGAGAAAAGAGCTCAGACATGATTTTTCAGGGCATGGCCTCTTTGCTGCTGAGATGGAAGATGTCTTTTGGAAGGATGGCAGAACCTGCTGTTCTCATACTTTGGAAGAAATCGTTTCCCTGTCAGCTTAGGACCCAGCCTTCCCTGTTGCTCTTAGAGCTGCAGCTGCTTTGGCTGGCATGTAGCATGTGCTTTGAAAGTGGCAGGTCAGCTAATGCTTGCTGACTAGCCAGCCTCGGTTTTAATCTTAATGACATGGAGGATTGCCTTGAACCCCCCTCCTGTTCCAAGGTCGATCCTTCAGTAGACAAAAGAACAATTCTGTAAGGCTATGTTGTTAAAGAAGATAATGATCTTGATCCAATAATCTTGATTTTTTAGAGAAAAAAATCTAGTCCTTCAGCCCAAGAGTACTGATCTTAGCCCAGACCCTAACTTGAGATAGGCCAGTGTGACATATAAATATTTTTAAAATAGGAAGCAAAGTCGAAGCCAAGTTGTTCTGTTTTTGCCAAGAAACATGCAGTTTCAAAATCTCTCTCCCTGCGCTGCAGAGGCCAGCTCTTTACCTGCCTGCTATCCCTAGAAATCAACACCTCCTGCCCTGAGGGGACCCCATTTCTCTTGGAACTTGCGTCACTTGTCACTCCAGGAAAAGGAGTGGATGTAAAGGTTTCCAAGCCCGAGGGAAGCAGGGAGGGAGCTGAGCTGCTGTGAGGTTGCCCTGGAGCAAGTACTGACCAGATTGCACACGGTGCAGTACTCCTGGGGCAAAGGGCCCAGGGTGGCAGCAGAGGCCATGATGGCCTCAAGCATCAACAGATTTTTTTCCTGTCAGAATAAGGACGATTTTTTTTGATGAGAGAGATCAAATGGAGCCTGCTATCCTCTGCTCTTTCCTTCTATTCCTGGAAAAGTATGACAGCATTACAATTCTGAAACCTAGCAGGCACCAGCAGCAGGTCAGACTCTTTAGGAAAGAGTTCACAGCAGCATAACGAGCTAGAAGAGAATGGAAACTTGGCTTTGGAATATAATTCTGCCGCCCCCTCATCAGCACCCACGACTCATCCATTTTCTGGCCTGCTCTTCTGGTGCGTCCGGATACTGGAGAGCAGTATCCTAGATACTGTTTGGAAACACTGGGACTTCCCAGCATTTTTTTATGGGGATTGATTTATGGCTCTCCAGAGGGCAGAGGGCAAAGCTGATTAAGCCTCCCTGGCCCCAAGGATGGGACATGCGCCTGGGTGCCGTACTTCAGCTCTTGTGCAATAGCAGCAATCTGTTCCACGCGGTCCTGGTGCGCAGCCAGGTCGCTCTCAAATGCCTCGTGTTTCTTCAGCAGGGCCTTTATCTCCGAGAGGGTAGCAGTTTCGTAATCCTTCTGCTGCAGCATTGCTTCCTTACCTGGGGAGGGAGCCAAAGGACAGGAGAATGAAGGACAGGACCCAGTGCCCCCAAAGCCAGCTCCCCTCCAACGAGGGAGCCCCGGGGATCCTCAAAAGGGCATCTGCCCCACTCCAGACACCCTGCCCGAGGCTTGCCCTCATGCGTGCTGGCCTAGAGATGCACAATCCTCACTTTCAAACCACGGAGCCCGAGTTTGCCATTAACAACAGAGAAGGAGACACAGTGCAGGCCAAGTCAGTGCTGTCACAGTTTATACTGAGGGCTATGCTGGTCCTGTAAGTGCCAACTGTGGCATTTACTGTATGGTAGCTTTTTTCCTGCTCTGTAGCTCATCCGCATGATGTAGAAGAACAGAGATCAAGTTGATTTTCATGCATTATTTTCTAATAAAATAAGAAACAAACATAGCATTCTCGAGGGGAATAGCTCATGGAAGGACCTACGCATGATCCATGTCTTCCTCCCTACATAACGGCCAGCACTACGTCAGGCAGTCCGAAACATGTAGGTTGGCATTACCATCTGTCCAGGACTCATGAATGGATGCCTTCTGCCGGAACTTCTCTGCTAGGTGATCCAGTCTCTCTAGCCTCCGGATCTCATTCAACAACCACTCCTCATAGCCCTTCTCAGCCTGCTCAAGGCCACCCCAGGCATTGTTTATATCCTAAAGACAGGAGCACGAGAAGAAAAGGCAGGTTAGAAAATGGGGAGAAAAATCTATGTCAGCATTAGTCTCCATGAAGCTACATGGCTCCAATTGGTTGGAGGGAGTGGATGTAGGCTTTTAATCTCCCAGGGTTGTGCAGACAGGTCACGAAGACGAAGTGCCAGACTTAAGATAAGCAGGACTAGCAGTATCAGGATATACCTGTCTGCACAAGAGTCTCTCTCGAAATGCTTCTCTACATGAAACTTCAACAAAGCTCAATCATCTTTCAATTACAAAAAATGAGAGGCACCCAGACATCTCCTCATAAAGGCATGCAACTTGTGAAGAGCCTCAGAGTCTGGTTTAGATACAAGGGAAGCAATGATTGTTTGAGCCTCCCTTATTGTGGCCTCACTGAACTATATTCTGCAGGGTGCCTGCCACAGAGTAGCTCACTCTGAAGGTGGGCATGTTCTGCCCATCCACAGGTAGGAAAGGAGTTCCTTTTTTTAGGCATGGTTGGCGTATATATGAGCAGTTACCCCCACTCACCGAGACCATTTTCCCTTCTGAAGGCATGAAGGCTGGCCTGTTGCTGAGCCGCAGCTTGGTCTGCAAGGTGTTGAAATTGATCTCAAGTTGGCACTTCTCTTGGACCTTGGGGGGCTTGTGCAGGCGGCGGTAGTCCCGGAAGTCCTCCAGTTTCTGCTGCATGGCTTGCATGGTGTTCTCTGGGGCTCGGTTCTCCAGCCAGGGGATGGTGCGACGGATCCACTCCAGCAGCTAGAAGGAGCAATGACAAGAAGCCTTGAACTGAAAATTGTGTAAAAAGTACAGATGTTGATCTGACCTCATTAGGGACCGTTTACTTTTATGTTTGCTGTCAGAAAGATTCTGCCATCAGCAGGGCTTGTAAAGAAAAGTCTGTCAGCTTTTTTGGAATTACTTTTTTTTTTTTACATGAGCAGCCCATTCCCTACTACACTAAGTAGTACTGCTTGTTGCAACACTGTCAATTCAACATGCTTAAGGCATAGCTTCCGCACAATCAGGAACAAACTATGTCCTCAGATTACACTAAAGCCTTAGAGTTTAACAAGACTGTTGCATAACTAAAGGATGCTGTAAGCCATATTATCTCCAGAAGGGTCTGTCAGGAGAAATCAAATTCTTGCCTCACAGTTACACTTTTCCCACTCTAGCTTCCTTGAAGTCAGTGATGCTCTTTGAACAGCCCTCCTTCACAAACCTATGCTGGGAGACGGCAAAATGCTAATGCAATGGGCAGTTTATATTGTGAGTGGAGTAGAGTCCTATGCTTTTCAGACCAGGCTGAAATCAGGCTCATGGGATGTATTTACCCTTCTGTTCTTCATCTTTCCCTCCCTGCTTATCTTCCACAAACGTACTCCAGTCTACATTTGGTCATTTTTGTGGTTTCACAGTTGTCAGTCTGTTAGACTTCTCAGTTAACCAAAGCAGCCTCCAGCTTGTATCTTACACAGATTCTTTCCAACCATCAGCAAATGCATATTTCTTCCTCAATTATCTCTAACTTTCATTCTTTCTGATCTAATTCCTGAATCCTGCAGTATATTGGCATACAATTTGTATGAAAGATGTTACAAAGTTGTATAGTCCTGAGGAATACAGTTAAACCAGCTTGACTTTTCCTTTAATTTTGGCATTTTTGCAGCTGCTCTTAATAAACTGAGAAACTCAAAGCTGCTCTATGGAAGCTTTCTGTTTTAAAGTAGATTGCTCTTGCCTTTAAAGTAAGTTCAATCATTAATTTTTCTCAAACTAGAAGCAGAAAAAATAGCCTTTTCCAGGGAAATATGGGCCAATAGCAATCCTCAAGATTAGATCAGCGTTAAATGCAATTCCTTTCCACATACCACCACCCAGAAACCAACAGCACCATGGACACCTACATCACTGGCCAGTTTTTCGTAGTCTTCCATGAGCTGTTCATTTTCTTGGTTCACTGCCAGCACCTTGCAGATACGATTTGCTGCTGTCTCCGCCTGAGGAAGACAAGATAAACAGAAGAAGGGGAAAAGTGTGAAAAAAACAATAAACTGAAGCTTGCAGCTTAGCTTCCTGCTACATAAAGTCTCCTACCTTTGGCTCTAGCAACCTGTCAGTGCTTCGAAAAGTCTGTCCTAACTTCTTTGCTTTCCAATTGAACCTTCTATAATAATTTATTTTTCCCTTCTCAGGTAAATACATTCCTTCAGAGGTTCTCAGCTCTACTGATCCCACCCTACGTGTCGTGAGACAACCACATTTTTATATCTTTTCTGAAGTTGCTCCTACGAGAAGGGCCCTGTTGTTTGCTTCCTACTACAGGGACCCTGGCTGCCTCTTTACAAAGACAGGGAGTTTCTGCCACCATCTCCACTCCCCTTACCAGCATTCAGAGCTTGCAACACCAGCAACTGAGTGGTGTCAAGCTGATGAGACTACATGCATTTACCCCAGAAAAGAACTACCTAAACAGAGTTAATCTATAGACTGGACTTTGGAAAATTCCTAATTTTATTTGAAGATCAAGTGGTAGACACTCCTCTTAACCTTAAACTCTGCCCAGCAGAGCTGTCTTCCAGCTTCCCTTGTATTTCTGGCACTCGTTACAGGGCCGCCTCCTCCAGTATTTTGCCACATGACACCTACCGTGTATTCAGGGTCTCATGATCCAGCTGAGAAAAGGTTTGGTTTTTTATCTTCCTTTCTGGGTAATCTTTCTGCTCACTGTCCCAAATCAAGTCTCACCAAAAACCCTCTGGTGTTTGGGCTTTTTTTTCCATTGTGGGACCAAAACCTTGTTCTCTGCAGGGAGCCGAACATGTTAAAATAATGAATTTGGAAAAAAGTAAGGATCAGAAAAATCCCAGCTATGAACTCAGGAGCAGTCAATCTGCCCTGGAGTGTCAGGCATGTGTTTGGCATGAGGAACATACAGCAGGCTGATCCCAGCACAGCATGTGTCTGTGGATATCAGGTCCCTTTATTGTTACTGCGGTTAGTGTCATACCACAAAGCCTTGGAGGATGTCCCCCTGTGATGGGTGTCAGGGGATTGCTCAGAACTCTCTTACCACACTACAGCTATCACCTTGGTGCCTGGGGAAGGTGCTAGAGCTACCCAGAGGACCCGTATGGAGTATCCTTCTTACAGAGGCTAAGGGGAGATGAAGAGGAGAGGGCACATGCCAACACTACAACAGACCAATTGTGAATGCTGTGTCCTGCCTCAAAACTAGGTGCGGGACTGATGCCAAAAAAAGTTTTGCTGAGCTTAGAGCTGGCAAGTTTCAACCTTTTCCTATTTTTAAAAGGCCTTTTATTATCTGTTTATTCAATCTCCAAGGCCATTTGAGAAAAATCCTCTAATTTTTGCAGCTGATGTGAGGCAGCAAGAATAGCAATAAAGTCATAGGCTATACAGTGATGTATGGATTGCTAAGGTCCCAAGGGATCTGGCAATCTTATTCGTTTGTAAGAAGCTGTAAAAACATATATTCAGTCATCATTCACTAAAGTGGGCCAGCTAGCAAATACACAGATATTAACTAATCTAAAACATGTCAGAGGGACCAGAGAAAGTGCAATTTCACTTAAAAAAAAAATCCATAAAAAGTGCAAACAATGGTTATATTTAAGCAAGCTTGTACTTTGATCTGTTTTTAACTAAAGTTTTTACTTTAATGGAGTGCTTTTTGATATTCATAGAAAACTTTATAGACATGGGACAAAATAATATCTCAAAAAGACATTGCCAGAGTCCTACCATGATGTGCCTAGTGACTGCAGGGAACTGGCGGTGCCAAATGTTTATCTCCGTTGTCCCAGGAGAGGAGCTCCCTGCACACTCTTAACGCTCTTCTTTTTACACCCTAGGAGCTCACTGCAGCAGCAGCCAGCTGTGCAGGAGGGACCCCCTTTTGCCTAGGCATATTTACATGTATCCAACGATAGACTCCTCCAGCTGCCCAAGTTTTTAAATATGTGTGCATGTATATATGTGTTGAACATCTGTCCAAACACAAAGCCCTCTGAATGTCAGCAATTACGACATTATTTGTACTATCCTAATGGCTGAAGTGTAGAGGCTCTCCCTCTCCTACCAGAACTTGCTTACCTATGGTTCTTGCCTACTGTAGACTGCTCTGTGCAACAGCATACTGCTGCAGCAGCAGGAAAGGCTCTGTGGCCACTATCACCATTAATGTCATGAGCAACACGTTACACTGTCTTGCTCTGAGCAAGGTAGGACAAAAGGATTCCAGTGCCTTCAGTTAACCTCCACAAATACTTCCCACACTGTTGCTAATGAGCTGATCTGTGGTGATGGCAATCTCAGTGAAACACTTTCAGGTGAAACAGTGGTGGCACACCAAGATGTTTACATGAGGCCAAGGCAGCTCCTCCTATACCTTCATTAGGGGAGTGGAAAAACTCATTTTGGCTTCCCCACACTGCTAAAGGCAATGATGCATTTAGGATGCTCACACTGGCTCCAAACAAGCCAGGATGCTCACAAGGCATGGAGCAGCACTGAGAAAATGCACCATCCTGGGGTCTGGAAGCTGCATACCTGTATTTTCAGAGAGCTTATCAGCTTCAGCGCAGCATCGCGCTGACACGTTATACAACTTGCACTCAGAGACAGTGAGGAGGGCAAGCCCAGGGCATTCTGCTTGATATCGCACTGCTTAATGATATGCATGTGCTTTTTGGTGTTTCCCACTCAAAATGGAAATCTGAAAAGCCAAAGAATAGCCAAAGTAGCAGTAATTTATTTGCCTTTTGTCTTTTCTGTACTTCTCAACCCTGACTTGGACTGCTTAGAATGGAAGTGGAGTTAGTTGCCTCTCTAGCTTATGGATCCAGGTCTCTTCACTGAGGATGATAAAGGAAGGCATTCCCACAGCGTGCTATGTAGAGAAGATGCCTGCCTGTTGCTGTCCTCTGGCCTCAGAGGACTACCCCAGAATACTGTATGTCAAACAATCTCTTAATAAAATGGTAAAATGTTAGTTAGAAATTTTCACCCCAGAAATCAAGTTTACAAAATATTAAGCCAACCAGTAGTTGCATGCATTTAGTGTGAAAGTCAGAAGCGGTTAGAAAACAAGCAAACCAACCAAAGCAAGTATACCTACAAAAATATGTATATAAAAAAATGGCATAAAGAAAAAGCAGCCATCTACACACACATGTCAGGCTGGGGACCCTGTACCTTCAAAGGCTCAGTACAAGAGAATGAAAGAAGCAGAAAGCGGCTCATGGGACTTCCCCTTCAGGACAGGTGGCAGTAATGAAAAATCTGAATGAAAAATGGAGTGATATCACAGTAAGTCACCTAATTGTGCATGAGGCAGCAACACATTACAATCTGGGCTGGGGCTTGCATTCAGTAATCTCGTTGTGTTTTCCCAGGGGTTTGAATCTGGTCACTCAGCAGCTGGCTAATGTACAGCTAGGGCAGCTCCAAAAAGGAGCTGCGCCCCTGCTGCCAGGGCACAGTTGAGTTGCTGGCCCATCAGGACTCCTGAAAAATGAATAAATGATTAAATCTTTAATCTTCCCTATAAGCCAGTTAGGCTACATGGGATTGAAACTTTAATAACGAAGAAGCTCCATCACTAGTTCTCACCCCAGCTACTTGGTTCAGGTCCTGAGGCAGTAAAAGGTTGTTTTCAGTTATCTCAGGAGACCTAGCATCCACTTAAATTGCTGATGAGAGCACAGAACCTGCTGAGCAGGTTTCTAAATCGTGGAGTGGGCACAGAGAGAAGAGGAAGGGATTGGCGAGGGGCATGGCTGCTCCTGCAGCAGGCCACAACCCTCCTCATATTGTGGTTTGCTATTTCCTCAATCTGGAGTTCTTTGGATTAAGCAGACAGCATGGAGAAGTCCCTCAGGGGCACCTGGCAAACAGCAGGCCTTATCACCAGGCTGGCATGAGTTCTGAGACTACAGTCTTCCTGGGCAAGTATCAGCTGGCTGGAGCTCGCAGTCTGGTCTTGAGGATTTTGAACTACTCACAAAGCAGGAGCCTAATGGGAAAGTCCTGACTATATAAATTATGCCAAACGGGCGAGTCTTCTGCACTGCTATATGTGGGACATATTCCCAGTTTCTTGGAAACAAGACAGCATCACATAATTTATATGAAATGGGGCAAAGACAAAAAACTTGAGCTAAAGAGCTGCTCCCTGGAACCTACTGCCTGTGCTTGCCCTCTGAAAGCCAGCATCAGCGTGGTATCTGCATCAGTGCTGCAACCATCAGCACTGCTTTGTACAAAAGAGATGGACTCCTGGAGTCAAGCTAGCCCTTGAGCTGGGCAACGCATGGACTGTGTCTCAAATAGAAAAGGCCTAGTGAAAGAAGTTGTCGCAGGGGAAATCAGGGAGATTTTACATCTGTAACACAAAGAACGCAGCCTTGAACCTTGGATTTTATTGTTCCAAAGTCTGCAATCTGAAATTAGCAGTGATCTTGTGGAAAGGCTGCAGCCCAGCCAGGCTATAGCATGAGAGGAAAGGATGGATCGTTTTCTTCTATTCAAAGGATTGCAGAGCAATTGCTGTTTTGGAGGAAGTTTGCCCAAAGGCAAACTGTGACTATTTGGTTTCTTTGAGGACAAATGTCCCGATGCCAGGCAAAGAGACTTTGGTAAAGAGGAAGCAGAGGAAGAAGGACTGAAGTTATGGAAATGGGCAAAGCAGAGGAAAGGGAAATAAAACATACAGGTGGTTTGGGAAACGGAGAAGAATGATCGGGGAGAAGCAAGGAATGGAGAAGCAAGTGAGTTTGGGAAAGCTCAAGGCCTGGTAGGAATGGACTTTGTGGCTGGAGCACAGAAGAGCTATGTAACTAGCTCACAGATGATGCAGCCTAGGAAAAGACCACTGACCTAACAGGGGCTGAGTGTGGAAGGCAGGATGGCAGCTTGAGGGGGACAGGCTGTGATTTCGTGGAGCAGGTTGATTTGATTGTGGTACTTCTGGGGCGCATCGCCTGGCCAGGATGATGCCCACTAGTCACTGAAAGGGTACCGACTCTGTCAGAGCAGACATTCGTTCATCTCTCCATGCCAGCTTTACCAAATGCTTCCTCCACCACTGGGGTGTGAAACTGGAGGGAAGGAGCAGCTCAAGTTTGTTCGAAAGGACATTTACATCACTTCTCCAGCAAGACTACAAGGGGCACATCCAAGCGCATCGCTGGATGCACTGGGCTTCCCTGCAGACGCCTTGTGGCGGGCGGGGGTCTGGCACGTTCCTCACCGGAGAGGAGCGGTGGGCAGGGCAGGGAGTGGGGAGGGGGTCGTTAGCAGTAAAGTCTCACCTTCTGCGCCCCTGAGAAGGCGTGGTAGTAACATGAGACATAGGTCATTATGGCCTTCTCATCCGGCCTTAGCGTGCCTATAATATCTGTGCAGAGAAGGAAAAGAGGTTGAAAGGATAAAGTAAGAAGCAGCACACAGAATAAAACAAAACAGTCACGGGTGGCGTGAGAGAGGGGGAGAGAACTTCCCATCATGCATTGCAGGACAGGCCAAACAGATTTCCATGCGGAGAGCTGGGAATTCAGATCAGAAGG